ACTGTGCACCTCTCTTTCTGGTGATTTTAGGTTGCTTTCTGAAGTGGGTGAATTTGTGCATGGGCCTTTTATGAGCAGGGGTTTTTTCCCCTTATGTCTGACAGCTTTTCTGTGGGTGTTCCTCACTGTAGTTAATATCCAGGAAAGTCAGATATTAAGACACTTGTCTCAGTTGTGCTGAGTCCAAAAGCTGCTTATTGTAGTAATGCTCCCCTGCTCAGATCCCCACACCTCCAGAGAAGTCTTCGTATGTTGAGATTGCTCCCAGCTGGCCATGAAGTGCTGCGCTAGAAGATGGCTTTTTCCTCTCCAGAAAGTAATTTCTGCCTCTTCCACCTCAGTCAGCACTGTCCCTTGTTACGGAAGTACTTTTTATGCAGTTTTCAGTTCTCTCTCAGGGGTAATTGTAGAGTAGTTGTAAATTTGTTGAGTCTGTGGGAGGAGGTGAGTTCAGAGTCCACCTACACCACCATCTTGACACCATCTTCTCCACTGATCCTTTTTCAACTCTCTACACTAAGAAAGCTCAGTACATCAAAAGTGTTTTTGAAAAAAATCAATAATAATTGGGAACAAGAGTAAAGCAAGTTTAAGTTATCTTCTTTGCCAAGTTAACAATATTACTTTAATGGAGTAATAAGCTTTTATTGTTCTAGATCCTTATGCAAAGGTTTATATTGGGCATTTGGGGAATTGCTTTTCCCCTAAATTGATTTTTTAACTCCTCTGAAACCTTTGTTCCTTGATTGTGACAAAGATTTTTTGTGTAACTGTGGGACTAGAGGAGCAAAATCTTAAACAAAGAGAGAAAAATTCATCCTTTTTTTTTTTAAAGATTGGCACCTGAGCCCACAACTGTTGCCAATCTTCTTTTTTTTTTCTGCTTTTTCTCCCAAAATCCCCCCAGTACATAGTTGGGTATTTTAGTTGTGGGTCCTTCCAGTTGTGGCATGTGGGATGCCACCTCAGCATGGCCTGACAAGTGGTGCCATATCCGCGCTGAGGATCCAAACCAGTGAAACCCTGGGCCACTGAAGTGGAGCATGTGAACTTAACCACTTAGCCACAGGGCTGGCCCCAAAAATTCACCTTTTTATATTGTCTCTTTATACTCTTGGCTATGACATTTCAGTGACAACATCTCTACACACAGTGGGCATCTTTTCTGGTCTTCCCAGGACCTGTACAAAATTCTAGCAACAGCATCCTCTGCCCTCCTTTAGGGAAATACTCCTCCCCTACTGAAGACATGATTATGGATGAGCTGAAATCTCAGTGTTCTTCTTTTAACCATGTAAAACGGACATATGGATATGACCAGTCAGCCACGTTACTGTAAAGCAAAAACTCCTTCTAACAAATCAGTCTGTCAGGGATGTTCAAAACTAATCCCTGGAGAGAAGTCCTCCTGCTTTTTGTTGCTAATTAGGGGAGTGTAAACCTAAGATTGCTGTTGACTTCCTCCTACGTTCCACATTTGGAAAGAATACAGCTAAAACAGAGAGAAGCAGAGATGGTTACAATTGTGCCCCCATTTCTAGGCATCTCCCCATCTTCATTGATCTTTCTTATCATCCATGGTAGATTCTACTATTATTCACACTGATCTGTTGTCCTCTCTGTAAGAGGACTCTACGTCCCTCCTATGGTCTTGTCACTTGCAGTACCTCCCTGTGGGAGGTGATAGTTTCCTCACCCATTGACATCAGGCTTGGCCATATGGCTTGCTTTAACTGATATAACATGAGCAGAAGTAATTTTTCATACACCCGAGCAGAAACTTTAAAAGTCACCTCCTGGCTATGTGACTATGTTTTTTCTTCTTCTTCCTAAAGACTGAGATAGGGGCTGCTCCTTCAGCCCAGGTCGCAGAATGAGGAAGTATGTGGCGCAGAGCCACAACCAGAATGTAACATAAACAAGAACAAAGCTTTTGTTATTTTGTTATTGTACAACAAAATCTCCTTCTAACAAACCAATTTCTCTCTCTCTCTCACTCTCTCTCTCTCTCTCTCTCTCTCTTTCAATCTCTCCCAGAAGATGGTTTCACATAGGTTTCTATCCCTGTAACTGGAAGCACTCTGACTAATTATCTTATGATTAATATATTTTTTATTCCATTACTAATACATACAATTCAGTAACACATTTACAAAGTAAATTACCAAGGTCAACACGTATGAACAAGTATACATTGAACTAGCCTATCCCAGAAATGGTTATTTTAATGTCTAATAAGAAATTATCTTCAACATTAAGCATATGCTCAGAGATGCTAAACAAGGTTTCACACTAACACTAATTTGTTCTAACACTCATATTTACATTAAAGCTAATGTTTGTTTTAAGCCTCTTATTATCAAATGCAATAATTATAATTTCAACATCCTTTAATAATTCTTTCAATGTATTTTACTATATATGTTTCTTTTTATAACTTGATAAAATTTAATTAGCTCTTAAGAATTGTTAAATTTACTTTGAACATGCAATATTATTTGTTTTATGTTAAAGTTGAAGAATATTAACATTTTCATATGTGTTTTGATATACAAGCAGTAAAATGATGAAATTTCTCCACTTCCATTAGCTAACACATTACAGACTACTAGTGCATATCTATAGCTGGTTCTCCTCTCCTTTGTATAAACACAAGAAGACCATTTTTCCCCAACAATCTTGCAGTTAGAGCTAAATGACTAGTTCTAGTTTAGTGATTTTCAACCAAGAGCAATTTCTCCTCTCCCCCACCACCAAGGGACGTTTATTAGTGTCTGGAGACATTTTTGGTTATCACAGCTGTAGGCGGTGCTTCTGGCATCTGGTGTGAAGAGGCCAGGGATGCTGCTACACATCCTACCAAGCACAGGACAGCCTGCCAACAACAAAGGATTATTCAGCCCAAAATGCCAATAGTGCAAACATTGAGAAACCCTGTTCTAAGCAATAAGATTTAAGTGGAAGTAATGAAGGTCACTTCCAAACTGTGGCCTTCAAGAGCCTATGTTCTCTTTAGGAAGCAACTGTGGAAGCCGTGTGTTGAAATGGAGGTAACCACAAGAAGCGAATGGCCTGGGTTCCTGAGTCATCACATAGAAAGGAGCTACCCTGGAGGCTTGCCTGAGCCTTAACAGTCTTTACATAATCATTACATAAATCTCTTTTTATCTTTAACCTTTGTTGTATGTCTTAAGCCAGATTTCAAGGCTAATGTGTTACTGCAGCATAATCCATCCTATCCTTACTAATACAGCTAGTTTTACAAATTTTCATTTTTGTCATGTAAATATACTACATTTTTATAATGCCAACTCATATCAAATGCAGCATTAAGTAGCTTTGAAATATAACTTATTTTTCAGACAACTATCTTTTATTATTCCAGTCATTAATATATGCTGAAGATAGGGATGACATTATTCAAGCAAGAACAGGATTTGAGAATGTATTTTAAAGAGCAGTTGGCAATACACTCAATAATCTTCAGAATGTAGAACATAATTGTATTTGCATGAGAAGATGAGATCACCCAGGTCTGAAAATGAAACTAAGAAACTATAACTTCCAGGCAGTGTAGAATGTTTTTGTCCAAAAGTCATAAGAATATAAAGTAAGAGGTTTGAAAACTATTTTTTTCTTCAGCAGAGTGGATATGATGCTGCATTTCACAGCTGCCTAGCTACAGTGAGTGATGTATGTTCATAACACAGTGGATGGTGGCAAAAATCTATGCTGGAGCCAACAATAAAATCTGAGGAAAATGCCTTTAGTTAATCAACCTAATCACTCCTCCTGTGTGCCAGAGAAGGGCTCACTTTGAACTCAGTCTTACTATAGATTGTTTAAATTAGCTATAAGCAGCACTATAAGGCTAAGGCGCCCCCAAATTTTACGTTAAAGGCAAGAGTTATCTATTTTTTTTATGCTTTCCCTTTTTCCCTTCTCAGTTAAGAGCATAATAATAATTTGTAAAGCCTTCAATTTATGCCTCAATCTTTAATGACCATCTTATTATGAGACGTAAAGTTATTTGAAAAGAAACAGAAAGGAAATAAGAAATGTGAGTTCTACTGTAAGGACTCAGTGTGCAAAATATTGATGAGGTCCAAAATGGCACTACCTGCAGCAACTGTGTATTTCACTTCAGATTTTCCCAGTGGGAGCATTTTATTGACAAGGGGGCAAATAAAACTAGAACTTATCTATACTATTTTTTAAATCTGAAATTAATTCTATATGAGCATGTCTCATGGCTTGAGACCTTTTGGTTGTAAGCAAAGGAAAAAAATTCCTTGTCCAATAATTTTGACCTTGTGACATTGCTCACTTCTTTAATACAGTCCTGTGGAAGTAACACTGTATATTTGGGGAGGTGCACTTGACTGGTAGCTCTGGGATTCAAATTCTGATAATAAAGAACTTTTAAAACTTCAGACTATCATGCAAATATTGCTGAATCTCAGACAAGCTCCACCACAAAACACTAGGATCTCACTATCACCTAGAGAGGGTAAGACGAAAAGTCCACATTTGAGATCACTGGATACTCAACTCTGTTGTAGGAGTAGCCAAGAAATTAATATATTTTGCTCAGTGTCATGTAGGGAAGTCAGCCTGGTTCACACAGGTATGACTACTCAAGAAAGTCCAATTCAAAGGATAGGATGGACCAATAGGAGCGCATGTGACAAGACTGGCTCCCAATGATACTCAGAGAGGCATGACAATCAAGTAGCTGGTACTACAGGAAGAATGACATAGAATCACAGGGGAAACATAAGGTCCTTGGCCTCATAGATTGGAATTCAGGGCTGGGTTCCAAGTGCTACTGGAAACTGGAGTGCTAAAGACACATATGCAAACCCAAACCCACAACCGGGGCTACCTCAACTGTGGGATGCACAAGTTGCCCAAGCACAAAGCTTACCAGGACAATGTCTATAATAATTATATCACATTCTTTCTCCTGGTGGAACTAAAATTCTCAATTTATTCCTTACCTTAGTCAGAACTGGTGTCAATACCAGAAGTAAAGGTTGTTTATTGCTGCTCACTTCAGAGTCAGGGAAAGGCAATGACTGAAAAAAAACATAAAGAATGACTAAATTTAGCTCCCGAAATGTTTTTGTTTATCTTACATTTAAAAAATGCTTCTGTACTTTCCTTGGAAGTACTAAGGTAATCTCCTTTTGATTCAAATGCTATTCAATATATAAACACTCAAACTGGGCATAAATGGAGCCAGTGTTATAATTTTTCATTGACAGTACATAAGAAATTAGAAACTCAAGGATTAATATTAAAAGAAAACACTCAGTTGTTTAGAATTGTTACATAATTAGAAATCAAAATAAATACTGAAATCAGTTTGTTCAAAGTATAGAATAATTTATCTTTGTATGAAACACGTTACATTACATGACCTTTATTTTCTGCCTGTATTTAAATTGCATCCACCAGGGCCTTCACTAGACTGTGAAGATGGATAATGCATATTGTTCATCTTTATAACTCTTACAGTTACGTGACTCATAGTAGGTACCCCTTTGATTAATATTCTCCAAAGGAATAGGTTCAAAGCAAGGCTATGACACTGATGAAAGACATGAGTTTTATGATGTCAATTTTGACAGTAGGTTTACTGCACTGAAACTATGGCTATTCTACCCACATCGTTGATCAATAAAGCAATAACATTTTAAACAAGTACAAAACCCCTTGAGATTTCATGCATTCAGTTCTAATTTTGTCAGTAGGGAAAGTCATGGTGATTATAGCTCTAAAGTACAATTAGCAAATTGCAGCAACAGACCTCCATGCAATTGATCGGAGTTGGGTAATAGCTCCCCCTTTAACCAAGCATGAGCTCTCTGGCTTCTCATAGTCACAGCTATTTTTGACTCTAAGATCTGTATTATTTGCTATTTGTCACTCAATTTGAGTTTTTAAATTCAGCCTGCCCAGTTCCTTGGGCATTTGAGTTTGCCCCTGCTGTTTAGCCTTGACCAAAGAAAGATCCTGCTTTATCTTGCAAGTGTACTCTCATAGCTCCTGATATCTCTCTTATCTCTTGCAAAGCTTTGGAAAGGACACTTGGAGCTATGATGAAGGCAGAGAACACTCACATAGCAGCCAGACCAACTGTCTCAACCCACACTATCAATGGGAACAACTATTACACTTAAGATCATGCTCCATGTGCAAATATACATGAAGTCAATATCCTACTTTTAAATGCCTAGCAAGAGCGATTTCCACTATGTATTTATAAAATGTCAAATGTATCAAGAACCAGTTATTCTATTGTTTTGTATTCCAACAATTTTTAAAGGCAAAACTTAAAGAAGTTTTCTTGGTATCATGATGTTATCATTATTTATCACAACTTCACAGGCTAGGTATGGAATTGCCCAATAAAACTCAAAAGATGAGGTCCTCATAAAATAAAGAAAGATAACGGGCCATTGAGGATATATTATTTTGCTGAAGGTCCTTAGTCATCCACTAGGTTCATTTTTCTGAATGCCTACTTTTCTGCTTCAGTGGCTTTGATTAAAATTCAGGAAATAGATGCAACTCTCTGGCAACATAGCAGGCACAATGTAAAGCAGACCATGTTAATTTGTCACTAAGCTTTAAATATTCCTTCTCTTGTCTCGTCCAAAACGAGCCTCATCTATCATATATTTTCATTCCTCTAGCTCCTTCAGGATTATTGATCTTTGTGTTATTTTGGCAAGCATATATGTAGAAAGGTTTTATTACATGTATGAATTAAATTTTTGATGCATAGAGGCTGCTTTACTCAGCTGACTATGTCTTTAATACACTTCAAAGTGAATCTTTTAAAAAAAAATCTTCATTAAGAGCTGTTTCCCATTTTAACTTCTAAAGTTACCTGATAGCCTTGTGCAGTTTTACAACATGCACTAAATATAAATGAAGAGCAAATAAAAATAAATATTACACATCAGGAGTGCTCATAAAACCACTGTGTAATTGTTCTGTCCTCTAACCAAGCCCAAGAAAGTAGCACCTAAAATCCTATTTTTAATGTTCTGTACTGACAGCTCCCAAGGTAAGGCCATGTGCTTAAAACAACATTAGGCAATTTTTCTTTTTCTCCTCATTAAAATAACAAAACAACACAAAAAATTCGAGAAGCTAAGCAAATCTTAGCTTTAACTTTTTAGTATCGACTTTTTTTAATTAGGAAGATAAAGCATTTTAATATTAAAAGCAAATTATTTATTCTCCAGGGATTTATTTTTCTATAATGTGTAATACTAAATGTTCTAAAAACATTATTTTAAATAGTGGATGAGTCTCTTGGCTCTGGGGCATAAATGTACCCCATGATGTTCTAACAACAAGAAACAGTTTATGCTCTTAATCACTTACAATGGTTTTATTATCTAGTAACATTTATGATGTGTTAAGAAAATAAATCAAGAACAATTTAAAAGTAGAAAAATATGGTACAGTCTCTATAGAGGTCACAAAATATAGCTGAATGAAAAATGGAAATCTGAGTAGTTGGGGGCTCTTTTACCAATTTTGGGTGTCCAACTTGATATAAATCAATTATTCCCTCATTAATTAATATTATTATTAATATTCTCGATAGATAATATTCTTAATAGAATATTAAGAATAATATAGTAATTACATTAGCATAAATTAATATTTAATTAATAATAAATCTGTAGGAATATGTAATTTGTATACCCATCCAGAAGATTGTGCCTTTTCATAGCAGACAATATCAATAGCTTTGTATTCAGAAAGCATTTTGGGGGCTAAAATTTAGATAGGAAAACTAAAGAAGCAGAATCAAAATTCACAGTGGATACAAAGGTGAACAAAAAATGCAGCAAAGTTGAAAGCTCTTTGGAAATATATCAATGCACAGAAAAATTAAATTTTTCCTATGAAGGAGTGACTGACTATTTCTGCCCTCATTTACCCAAGTAAATATAGAAGGGAATTTTTGATAAAAAAAGGAAAAAAAATTTTTAAAGGGCAAAAGACTTGAACGGGCATTTTATGAAAGAGACTATCCAAATAGCCAATAAGCATATGAAAAGATGCTCAACACCATTACTCAATAGGGAAGTAAAAATTAAAACCCATAATAAAACAGCACTAAACATCTGCTTGAATGGCTAAAACTAAAAATGCTAACAATTCCAAGTGTTGACAAGGACATGGAGCAAGTGGGACTCTCATACATTGTTGGTGAGAGTGTGAATTGATAAAATAACTTTGGAATACTATTTGATAGTACTCATTAAAACTAAACATGTGCCTACTATGACCAAATAATTACACTTACCCAAGAGATGTGAATGCATATGTCCACTAAAAAACAAGACAAGAATACTTAGAAACTTTCTTCATAACACCAAAAACTAACAACCCAAATGTCTATTAACAGTAGAATGAATAAATAAATATTCTATGGAATATTCATCTACCTAGCAGTTAAAAATAAAAAGAACTATTGCCTAACTCAATTAACATAAATGATTTTTATAAACATAATCCTGAGCAAAACAACAGAAAGGAGTACAACCTGTATTCCCTCCCCAAAGGGAGGGGATTGTGGATAGATTGGTTTTGATAGTGTGCGTGCGCACGAGTGTGTGTGTGTAGAAATTCAAAACACATTCATACATAAACACACATGCAAAAATCATCACTTAAGATTTGTGTACTTTACAGGGTGTGTGCGATACCTCAATAAAAAACTATTAACTAAAGATTTTACATCTTGGTAGCAGAGGTAGGTATAAGTCTTAGAGTTCTCCTTTCAGTGGAGCGCACAAGAGATGAACATTCCTGGTGACTTTCATAATAAGACTCCATATAATAAAAAAAAGATTTGCTGTGGTAACCAGAATATATACACTCATCACCTCGTCATTTATTTAACCAATGGGAACCCTACTAGAGGGGTACGGTGTTGAAAGTTTTAGCTTTAATTTATAGGAAAGAATTGGTTTGAGTTAATTTTACAGAAGGGGAGTATGACATTTAAGTTCTAACTCACCAACTAAGGAAAGGGTTCAAAATTACTTCAACAATAACACCTTATGGAATGTGACGGCGTGTCATAGATGACAAAATTCTTCATGTACAACTTCCTAAGACACAAGTTGAACACTACATAGAAATGTTTGACTAAAAATATAAAGCGGATCTTTAACTAAAGCTAAGAAGCTCTGTTTTCTTCTTCTATGTTTACTACCTTTTGCCACCTTAAGCCATAATGCCACATTATTTCCTGTAATTCAATACATTTATTTTTTAAATACAAAACATTATATTTACAATTCTAGACACATCACTGTCTTTCACAAACATGCAAGATTTATTTTCTTCTCAAAATTGTTATAACTATGTATACTTACATATGTACTATATACGTTCCTTTTTTAAACAAATTCGCTACTGTAATTAAGTCACTGGATTCATATCAGTGAATATTGAGCAATTATTTATCTAAAACAAACGTTTTACTAACAGAAAAGTGTCCTATAAGTAATGTACGGGTATTGTATATTTAAAATGTAATTCTACTTACAAAAATCTGACTTTCATACAACTATTTATCTATGCATAGAATGAGACTCATCTGTGTTACTTATTTAAAATGCAGTGGTTATTGCATAATAAAATACAACCTTCGCTTTCACCAACAGTGTAAATGATTATCTCAAATCAAATATCCTTAACTACTCTTTTGTTCTCTGAAACTTAAAAAGGGAATTTCAATTTGCTAAATAGCTCCAAGGAAATGGAGAATTGCCTTTTATTATTGTACAAAAAACAAGATTCTATGAAAACTGCTAAGAAGCATTTCTCTGCAATAGCATATTATGAGGTGTGGACTTAAAAGCATTTTCCTATTACCAATATTGCAATTGGGCAGATGTCTGCTGCATATACCATGTCTGCATTAAGAGCCAGATTTTCCTAAGAGTTGATTATTGGAAGCATTTTAGATTATAGCAGAAAATGCTTGTTGATTATTTTGCAAATGAAAATTTTAGTCCCTCTGACAATTTTTCAGGTATTTTAGAAGATAGCCTTTAAAATAGAAAAATAGGCAGCAGGACAAAACGTAGCAAGCCAGATACAAGAATAAAGGAGAAGAGCAGAAGCTGAGGTCTAGACCTTTTACAGGAGCCAGTGGTTGTGTCCTATCATGGAGGCATTTTCCACGAGAAATGCTGGGATTCCAAATGGTCTGGCAAGATCTGGAAGGA